CCGAGACCCCGAGACCCCGAGACCCCTATGACAACAACAACAACAACAACAACAACAACAACAACAACAACAACAACAACAACAACAACAACAACAACGACGGCAACGTAGTAGGTTTACAATCTTTTTAGGAGTGCGTAGTGGTTTTAATGATGATGATGATGATGATGATGATGAAGGAGAAGAAGAAGAAGAAGAAGAAGAAGAAGAAGAAGAAGAAGAAGAAGAAGAAGAAGAAGAAGAAGACGAAGACGACGAAGACGAAGACGAAGAAGAAGAAGAAGAAGAAGAAGAAGAAGAAGAAGAAGAAGAAGACAGAAGACGAAGACGACGAAGACGACGAAGACGACGAAGACGACGAAGAAGACAATGAAGTCACAAACTAGCAGTGTAAAGTTGGTTCAAAACAACAACAAAAAGAAAAAAAGCTCAAAGACGAAGGTCTATGATGGCGACCGCACGTCTACAATAGGACGGGTTAACATTGGGATCCCAGACTCTAAATCTACTTTCAGACATTTCTCTTTGGGATGTCTACCTCTGACCCAAGGACGAGCCTTGAGCACTGGTATTGATCGATCCCATAGTCGCCATTCGGGGGCTTTGTCTGATTCCTTGGGCTCACCAGTGTGACCTGTCTCATCTTTAACACGCACAAAGATTGGGACACCTATTGTCTGACTTCCTAAGGACAACGTTCCCTCCTCCAGGAGAGGGATGGTCTCGAATGCAAGAACAGGGACAATAGCGAGTCCGCGAAACGGAACATAATCTCGCCAATAGCCCGCATTTTCTTGTCGTGCTCTCATAACCATTGTTCTTGCAAGCCAATCAGCATCACGAACATCTTGCGATACGGCAATCTCCTTCCTGTACGCCACCACCATAACTCCAGGTAGCCTATCTGATCCACCATCTTCAGCATACGCCACAACGTCCCATACCATGTACGCGTCCTCTCCTTTCGCGATCTTACGCAGTTGAATCGGTTCCTCCCTTCCTCTGAGAAGTCGAAACCGTGTCTGTCTCCTCAGCGCTCTTGCTCTCTGTTCAGCCTTCTCCCTTTCCCTCAATCTCTCTTCTCTGGTTATTTTTCTTGGCCTCAGCGGAAGCGCACTAAGCTCTGGCAGCAGCAGTAGATCTGGGAACCTCTCTTGAAACACTTGTACCACTGCCTCACCCAGCTCCACATCCATTCTCCCTCTGCGACGATCTTTCATGTAACTCGGAACAGGATCTCTGAACGTGCTGCCGATCCCAGCTACATCAGCACCACTGTTGTCTGCAACTCTTTCCTGCAGCAGCATCCCATCACTTGCTTGTCGCATATCTTCGCTTACTCGAACTTGACTACCTTCTCCTGCCTCTTTTGTGTCTCTTCCCACTAGATAACTCTCCCCCCGATGTCCTGCTGTCACGCCTTTCTGACTGGCACCCTCAGACGAGTCCTCGTTGTGGAACATACTCTGACATTCCTCTGCCTCGTCTTCATCACCCTCCTCGTCGTCGTCGTCGTCCTCTTCCTCATCCTCCTCATCGAGCTTGTCGTCAGGGCCTGAGTACATGTCATCTGATGCTTCATGTTCGTCTTCACTGCTGAGCTCATCGCTAGGATCCAAAAATATCTCTTCCATTTCTGCGTCTTCCTCTGCCTGCTGCTCAGCTGAAATCTGCATAGCTTCTCCTGTATCCTTGCGGGGCTTTGGAAAGACGAGAGTGTACTCCCTCTTGTCTCTAAGGAACTCGTACCGCGCAATTGTCCGTTTATCTCTTCCGACCGCCAGGCGGCGCAGGCCCAACGCACCACGCTCGGCAAGGTACAGCTTAACATCATCCGTGCTTCTCACCCTCACTGGCAATCGTTCAGCAAATCCGTACTCGTTCACTTCAACCACCAATACCAGCTTTTGTTCTGAATCGTGCGAGTCACAGAAATAAACATCACAATAAACCAAATTGATCGTACACACGTCATTCGTACAGCTCAGTGAGAATCAGACATAACGCCAATGTTGATATGCATGGTGTTTATGTCTGCGTGTGCGTGTGTTTTAACGTTTGAACTGTCGCCACAACAGTCCCTTTCTCCGCCCAGATGAAACAGCCTTACCTTACAATCTTTGATCGAGTTTTTTAAAATGTTGTTCAGCTGGATTCGAACTTGGGTCTGTATTTCAACAGTTCAAGGGTGTCCGTTTGCCTCTTCGATCAAAGTTATATATCATATTTTAACTGATTGTCATGTCTTGACAATTGTAATGTTGTTGATGAAACGACCATTTCGCTGTTGTACTCTGAGAGGTGCAAGGACCACCACATCTGTGTACAAAGCGTGCAGTTCGTACACACCCGTTTGCTTTTGAGGACACCTGCACCTTATATTTTGTCTGTTCTCTTATGGATGCTCATTCATACTAGATGACCTGTTGCGGCTTCGCTCGCAAAAAAAGATATGATGGTTAATGCATTCATGGTGGGGGCAACTGCCCCATGCAAACTCTCTCTCTCTCTCTCTCTCTCTCTCTCTCTCTCTCTCTCTCTCTCTCTCTCTCTCTCTCTCTCTCTCTCTCTCTTCCCTCTCGCCCCTCTGTCCCGCGGTCTCGCGGACCCGCACCTCTCCGTGTCTCTCTCTCTCTCTCTCTCTCTCTCTCTCTCTCTCTCTCTCTCTCTCTCCCCCTTTTCTCCCCCCCCCCCCCCCCCCCCCCCCCCCCCCCCCCCCCCCCCCAACACACACACACATGCATGCATGCACACGCACACACACACCCCTACCCCACACCCACACCCACATACACACATTGGGTACCTATGGCTGAGTGCATGTGTAGAGTGGAACTGGTTTTCAGAACCTCTTGGCTCTGGCTCCTGCCATTCTGGGTAGCGACAGTCCGGTTCCTATTCCCCCGGCAACTTGAAGTGGGTTTTATGCCTGTGACTGATTGTTTTCTCAGATTTCTGCTGCACACACCCATACCGCACACCCCCACCTCCATATACACATTGGGTACCTATGGCTGAGTGGGTGTGTAGAGTGGGTTTTATGGCTGTGACTGATTAGCTTCTCAGACTTATTGCTGTTCTTCTCAGGGGTTTGGACCAACACACTGCCAGGGTTGCAGGTTTGGTGTGTGACCACTTCTATCGGGGGCATCGTTAACTTTGGGTGACGTTTGGGGTTCGACCTCCTGGTGACTCGGTGAAAGTCCATGACTCGGTGAAAGTCCGTGAACAGTCTGGCACAGTAATGCTTTTTTTTGTCTTTTTTGTTTTTTTTTGTGTATAGTGAACATGACACACACACACACACACACACACACACACACACACACACACACACACAGATATGCGTGGTACACCCCTGAGCTGCTGATAAACCGGCCTACGTTCAAACCGTGACGAAATTAGATGAATTAAATAACTCGGTACGCACATTACCCCAGGCCAGCCAGTTCAAGGACGATACCTCAAGGTTGTCATTCTTTCTTCTTGTTCGTTTTTTCAAAAACACACACATATGCTAGTAAACAGATCATGAGCTCGAATCCAACTGCTATGAGATCTGCAATAACATTAGGATGGATCTTGCTCAGTGGAGGATGCATTCTTTTTTTTTTTTTTTTTTTTTTTTTTTTTTTTTTTTTTTTTAACTACGCTATATTCTTCTCTCAAATCTTTTTCATAATCTTTCAAATTCTTTCAATTCACCTTCACTACCTACCTACCACTACTGATGAAACCTTAGACAGGGGACCCCTGCAAACATAGCTTTGTTGTTAGTTCACTCCTTTTTTTTCTTAAAAGTAAAAAAAAATAAAATCTAATTTATTATATTCCACTCGATCAATTGAGGCTGCGGTCCGTGGACCGCACCCATAAAGGCAAGGTTCTTTTTGTTTGCCTTTTGTTTTCCCCCAAACACCCCTATCTGGTAGGAAACCTATACTGATGATAACCTCTATTCCAACTGGTGTGCGCCTGGAACAAGGTTAGGATCAATCTGGCCAATGTAAAGGGACAGAGATCTGCAATAATGTTAGGATGGATCCGGCCAATGTACAGGGGGGGTCAGTGGTTCACCCTGTCCTATTGGACGTCCTGTTGGTATCATCATCGGAAATAGGACGACTGCTCTCGGATCCTTTGACGGGTCCCGTCAAAAGCAAAACACTGGGTAATGCTCCCATCCCCGGCCTTTATGCTGGGTGGCTGGCCCCCTTTCTTTAAAAAAGCATAAAAATACATTGTGTTGGTGTCAAAGAAACAAAAAAAGGACATCCCCTTGGTGTCATCATTCGACTCAAATATAAAAAAAAACTCTGAATTACCAAGGGCATATGGGTAATTCAGAGTTTTTTTCATATTTCTGATGTGTTTGCGAACAGACACTTTGCTGGATGTACCATTAGGCCATGTGAGAAAGGTGTGCGCACTTGTATTTGAGCGGTCCCTCCTCCTTGACTCAAATCACGCTCGGCACTGATGCAGTTAGATCCATTCCGAAGGGCCTTCTTTTCCAGACTTTTTTCGCGCCCAGCCGCGCGCTGAGCCTTCTTTTTTGTCCCACTTCCCCGTCCCAACCAGTCACGACCCCGTAACAGGGTGTGCTGTCTAACGGCCTACGCACACTCGGATTTGACAGTATTTACAGAAAAAGAAAGAAAGAAAAGGGCTGGTAGGTACAAACCACACGTGCACGTAGTCTGATGGCTGCAGAATCTGTGTCGGCTTGGCAAAGATATATTTGCCTTACCTCTCTGCTGTCAAAGGTGCTACGCACACTTGGACGAAGTTGCTGCTGTACTTATTTGTAAAACTTCGTGCTGCGAGTTTGTCCTGATATGGGTGAGCAACTTTTCACCTCATGCTACCTTTCCACCACGCTGCTATGCAGAGCCCAGTGGGCAATCTCACCGCAGAAGATGCTTGCGTGATCAGTATCTGACGACACTGATCACACATATTACCCACTTGTTGTGCACATGCCGTCCCCACTATGCTAACACACACAAACGCGGGCGGAGAGAGAGAGAGAGAGAGAGAGAGAGAGAGAGAGAGAGAGAGAGAGAGAGANCTCTCTCTCTCTCTCTCTCTCTCTCTCTCTCACACACACACACACACACATTAAAAAAAAAAAGAAATCAAAACGGATAAAATGATCCAGCCATGTGGCATGCCTTGAAACCCCCTAACCCTCCCCACGTGGCGCAACTTGTGTTCCTTTACCCACTCCGTTCCTCAACTGGTGCACTCCTCCTCCTTTCCCCTGTCTCAATATTCTGATGTCGTTATTATCTTACCTTGTCCTTGCAAATCATGCTCATACTCCTTATCTTCCTCGTCATCTTCATCAATCAACGTGGTCATGGAGGGGTGCTCTCTCTCTCTCGCGCGCGTGTTGTCATGCTCACTATGGACAACTCCACAAAAGGGAGCATGACTGTGTCCGACTGTTTCATCGGATTTTCACCGACTCATCAGGAGGTTGAACCCCAACAGTCTGCCCGAGATGCATTTGCGTGCATGTGTGTGATGTCACGTTCGATATACACATTTGAGAGAGAAAGCGCACCAAGCCCGTAGCACCCAGCACGTGACACCGAGCACCAAGCACATAACACCAAACACGTAGCACCAAGCACATAGCCCCGACCACCAAGCACCAACCACGATGCACACCGACCACCAAGCACCGACCACGAGACGATGCACCAAAGCAGGACAGAGAGTAGGCGGGAGTATGCACGGGAGTAGGCGCGTTGAGCAGCCGCGAGTGTAGGCACGTCAAGTAGGCGCAGGTGTAGGAGCGTCAAGAAGCTCCGTGCGTCGAGCAGGCGTGCGAATAGAGCGGGCGCCCACAAAAAAGTGAAAATGTGGGCCGCTTGGGCGTTTTGAGGGCTGGGCGGCCCCTACCAGTTGTCCAAAGATAGCACGGCGATCCAGGTCGTTGCCGGCCCGACAGCCCTGATTGCCCCGCGATCTTAAAGTTTTAAGATCGTGGGGCAACCTGGGCAGTCGGGCCGGTAGGACCATGAACAACCTGGATCGCCGCGTGATCTTAAAATCTGAAGATCGTGGGGCAATCCGGGCCGTCGGGCCGGTAGGTCCGCGGACGGTCCGGATGCCAAAATTCTCACATTAGCGATTTTAACAAGTATAGGGATGCATTTACTAGTTCTGCACAAGGGAAGGGAAGAGGGAAAGGGAGGAGAGGCAGAAGAAGGGGGGAAAAGGGAGGGGCAGAAGAAGGGGGGAAAAAGGAGGGGCAGTGTGGAGGGGGAAGAAGAGCAGGGGAAAGAGGAACCTCATTTGGTCCTCAATACTCACAGGTAGACAGACTACTAGAGACAAGCACAAGCGGCCAGTCAGAGGTTGGGTTGCAGCGAATAAGATGCTGAGGCGGCGGCATTGCCTACATGTCTCCCTACACATTGTACAGCGGGGCAGGCAGTGCACTTTGTGTTTATTCCCCCGTAGTGTATGTGGAATGACCACAAAGTGCACCGCCTGCCCCGCTGTACAATGCGCAGGGAGACATGCAGGCAACGCCGCCGCCTCAGCTCAGTGAGAATCAGACGTAACCTGCCATACCAAGAAGGGGGGGAGAGAAGGAGGGGGGGGGGCGGGGGAATCAGATCCAAAAATTCCAAAAAAATGGTGAGGATCAAGGGAAACCCGAGGCCAGACAGGGTATATAGGGTGGAGCGCCCCTTGCAGGGTGACAGAAGTCACCGAATGGAGGGTAACGCAGGGATTAGCATATGAAGGGTTGGGGGGCCCTCTACAGGAAGCAGGGATGTGAAGGAAGGGAGGATTGACCCTGGTAAGGAATGGAGTGGAGACAGTTGCAGTCTGCGGGAGGAAAAGATGCAGAGGGGCAATACCAACCGTTCCAGCTAGCACAGGCTGCGGGACCTGATGTGGAACCCAAGGGACTGGGAATGGTCACCTCAGGGGATGCACAATAAGCCCACACCACTCTAAGAAGTGACCTCGAAAAACATCTACAATTCGCTGATCGAACCAATCAACATTTGTGAGGAGTTAAGGAACAGATGGGCCAAGAGGGACTGGCTTCCCGATGTTCACCTTGGCCGGTGGACTCAGCGAAGATAGAATTAGCAGTGTCCTATATGAACCTGGGTTAGGCCGCTGGGTCAGCAGCAGCAGCAGCAGCAGCGCCACGCTATCTTAAAGTCTTAAAGTCTTAAGATCACACGGAAATCTGAACCGTCGGCCGGTAGACGACGGGCGGCCCGGATCGACCAAATCTCACATACCGAATAGCGATTTCTATAAGTGTAGGGACATTGACTTGCGCTGAGACATCTTGTACTTCGACCTGACGAGCTTTCCGATTGACTGGGTTCATTGCCCCCCCCCCCCCCCCCTCTGAACCCTTTAAGCCCCATTTATACCACCCTTCTGCCATCTCACTCCCCACCCTCCAATCCCCCCAAACTGACAACACTGGAAAACAGAAACAAGCCCAGATTTGGGCACTTTGGATGGATGCAGAAAAGCCCCACAGAGAAAAGAAAACAAAAATCAGGAGCTTCCACATGCCTGGAGTACCCCCGTGCGGCTGGACAGCCAGGCGACTTACACAGGTGCCCGACCGGGCATCCCTGGTAACCTAGACAGATACAATGATGTTGGGGCCGCCTACCTGCTTAAGGGGTGAAAACGAAAGGGAAACTAAGAAAAACTTACTTGGCTTAGGGTATAAGTGAATTCCCTTGGAAAGTTTCTTCGCAGCAAGAGGCCGAATCCACAGCCTTCGCCGAATATCTTCGGCCGTATAGAACTCCAGAACTTTTCCAGTTACCCGATGGATTCTGAGCTTGTCGACATCCTCCTTCCGAAGACGTAAATGCATGGTCGCAAAGTCTATTACATCATCATTTGTCCAGTCCTCCATCAGCTTTGTCATGAAATCTGCGCACACGACAATCAGGATGTCAGGCAAGCAACTGACCAAGACACACACGCATGCATAGTGGGAAGTGGGAGACACAACAACAGAGGGTGAGAGGGTAAGGAGGGAGGAGGGTAAGGGGGGCGGGAAGGGTGGTGGAAGGGAGAGGGTTGGAAAAATACACACCAAAGTGACCAAACATATCCCATACTTTTCGCTTTCGCCAACCAGCTGCTGGAAATATTTTGACCACTGAACAGATGGGAGTTGTATCACCCTACGCGTGTAAGTACACGAAGATGTGAGTTACACCGAATGCGCGGTAAGGTATACACCACTTCCAATCTATCTTTTCAAGAAGGATAATCGACTCCACAAATATCGATTAAAAGTCGAAAGTCAAAATTGCAAGGAATATGAGTGAGAGGGATAGACAGAAAACCAAGTTGCAAAATCACGAAGTAGCCCAGATAGTCATGTACCAAGCGGAGAGCACGAATGCACCAAGATACCATTCATATAAGAGGCAAACAATGAACTCCTGCGCCAATGTCTACGCCCTCAGGCCCCACCAACACAGTATCCAATGTCGATCCGCACTAGACTTCCTCCTACCTGAAAACCAACCAACTGCCCCTATTGTCTGGCGCCCGGTGCATCTGTTCCGCTTGGCCATTGGCTTCGGGATGATTCCCCGAAGTCATTTCAAGTTGACTTCAGCGTCTTTCTTCCACGTCTCACTTGTGAACCGGACATCTCTATCACTAACGATGGTCTTAGGCAGTCCAAAGTCACACACCCAGTTATCCATAAATAACTGGATGACGTGTTCGGTCTTGGCCGTCTTTGGCGTGGCAATTAGTCTAGCGTACTTGGTGAACCTATCCACTATGACGAAGATGTGCCTCTTGCCACTCTTGCTGGTCATGAGGGTGTCTATGAAGTCCATGGAAACACTCTGTCCTGGACCAGCAGGAATGGGCAAGGGCTTGAGTAACCCAAGTGGCGCTTGAGTCTGCGGGAAATGTTGAACTAAATTTGCACTAGTCTTCTTGTAGCCGAAGTGCCCAGTCGCATCATGACACTCACCTAAAAGTAAACTACGCAAAAGCTCAGTAAACAGCACACACAATCTCTTAAACCCTGCCGTTTCAAGGAAGAGTAGTCCATCCACCACCACAAACCGTCAGATGTTGTTTTATCCTTGGCATCTAGTTTGCGCATGATGTCCATCATGATGGGATCTTCCTTGTAGGCTTCCACCAATGATCGAGTTACATCGTTAGATAAGCCAAACTCGGTGATTAGCGCACCTAAGTAGTCTGCCCTACGTGATAGCGCATCAGCAACCTCGTTGTATTCTCCCTTCACGTACTCTAGCTTGAAGTCATATTGATCTATGACTTCAATCCAGCGTTTGAGTGCATTAGAGGGAACAGGCTGCGTCTTGATCCACTTGAGTATCTGATGGTCGGTCCTCGAATAAAAAAACCTTCAGTGTCTCTAGTGGACAAGAGCCTTATAGAGGGCATCATAGAGCTCCCTCTCATAGGTAGACTTCGCTAGCATTTCAGATGCCATCTTCTTGCTCATGAACTGGATGGGCCTCATCTTTTTTCCTTCCTATTGAGGCAACACTGCGCCTATGTTGCATTGGCTTGCGTTAGTGGTCACAACGAATGGCCTCTCTGGATCGGGGACCATGAGAATCTTGTGATGAGTGAGAGCATACTTCAACCGTTTGAAGGCTGCCTCACATTGGTCTATCCATTCCCATGGTGTGTCAAGGCGTGTTAGATCAGTCAGGGGGGCGGCCACCGTACTATAGTTCTTAACGAAGTTTCGATAATAGTCGACCAATCCTAAGAATGATCTGACCTTGGTCACAGACTGAGGTTAAGGTCAGTGACGTGTGCTAGTCACCTTTGCATCTCCAGGCCTAATCTCTTTCACGGATACTTCATGACCCATGTATAAGATTTTTGTGTGTCAGAAGTCACATTTTTCCTCGTTGATCTTGTACTTGTGTTGTCTGAGGAGGCCTAACACAATATCTAAGTGTTGTGCATGCTCCTCGACAGACCTACTAAAGATGAGAATATTGTTGAGGTACACCATGATAAACTTATCCAAATAGTCATGAAAGACCCTACTCATGGCGTGCTAGAATGTACCCGATGCATTGCAAAGACCAAAGGGCATCACCACAACCTCGTATAGACCGTACCTGGTCTGAAAGGCGGTTTTGTATTGGTCCTCAGGTCTAATGGCAATTTTATGGTAACCGGACTTAAGATCTATGTTTGTGAAGTACTTACGTCCCTCCACTCTATCCAGTAGGTCATCGATGTGTGGTAGAGGCTCAACGTTTTTAACAGTGATGGCATCGAGGCCTCCAAAATCAATGCACATCCTCAATGATTCCCCTTCGTCGGTACAAATAGAACAAGTGAGCCGAAGGGGAAGATGCTAGGTCGTATCCAACCCTTCTCTGTGAGCTCTTTCAATTGTCGATGGAGCTCGTCCAACACTGCCGGAGCCATCCTATAGATTCTTCCCTTTGGTGTTTTGCTACTTGGGATGATCTCTATGGCATGGACAACCTCCCAATCTACGACTCCTGAAGGTTCCTCAAACAGATCAGGGTACCTTGCAACGACAACTTTTATCTCTGGGGTGATTTAGCAGCCTCTCCTTTCTCAGAGACAAAGACTAAGTACACACCTTCCTCTTGGTTTTGTTTATAATAATTGTTGAACATCGATGCACACATGCACCCATAGGAGTCGACTAAACTGCTAGCCTTATGCTTAGCTAGTCTAACGGTCCTCCCATTAGGCAACACGTGCTTGCACACTTTCTGGTCCCAGTCAAACTGGGGCTTTGCAACCTCGAGATAGTAATACCCAACAACATGTCAAATGGCAAGTCGTCGCTGACTAGGAACGAAATCCGACGATTAAGTTCCCCGCCTCCATAAGAGAAGGTGCAGACCATGTCCTTAACGTAGTCCTCAACCATCATGCGCTCTTTGTTGGCTAAAGTAGATGCTATAGGTCTACTCAAGCGCTGCACCAAGTCCCCTAGGCGCAGTATCTTAACGCAGTCGCAACTTATGAAATTTAGAGTGGAGTCGATGTCTACGAAGACACCACACTTGCGGCCACCTACACCAACTTCCAAAACAAAGTGCTCCGCTCTTGGACCTGTAGACAGTGTCACCCAGGACTCACGAGGGTCCCTTGCTGACCACTCACTTTCTAAGTCCTCTAAGGCCTCAGACACATCCAACGAACAGAGTATCATTTGGTCTAGATGCGTCTATGGGGTGACGAGAGAGTCAATAGCCTCAGCCAACTCTTGAAGTCGTGAGGGTACATCAACCACTTCATCATGAGTAGAAGCAGCTATAACTTCTACTGGCCCAATGTGTCATGAGGTTGTGCTCGTAGAGGCACCACTCTGGACGAAAGATCCCCCAAAACCACCTTTGGGAGGAATCTTTTGAGAAACCTTTGCATTCTTACATCCGAACTGTTGATGGCCATACTCGCTGCAGTTGATGCAAGCTCCTCGCGAATAACGGTCCCTCCACACATCTTGTTCCAAGCCAGCCCTCACCCAAGCCGGAGTCTTGTTTGAGTTTTGGACCTGCCCCTGACTCTTTTGCTGACCGCCCTTGCAGCGGCCAGTCGCCTTACCTTTTGTTACGGTAGCGATATTGCTACCCTCGACACTCTCCTCGCTTCCCAACTCTGTTTCGTCCACAAGGTCGAAACTATCGTCGATCTCGGTTTGATTCCCATCGGAATCAACCATCATCAATTAACTGCCTTTCTTCTTCCACTCTTGTGGACTCTTCTTCTTCCTATTGTCCGTCGCAGGTTGTTGAGCTCCTCCTAGCTTAAGCCTCTAAGTCTAAGGCTTTCTTGTTGAAGGAGTCAAGAGTGTGATAATCGATGCTTGCCTCACTCGCCATCAAGTTCTTGATGTACGTGGGGAGACATCTCAAGAACATGGTGAGAAGGACTTGCGGATCATAGTGAACTCCAGGGACGACAATGAGTTTCTCCATGGCGCAGGTAAGTTCACGCACGGACTTGTAGTTTTTAATATCAAGCCGGGCCAACGCATCAGTGGCCTGCCGGGCCTGCTGCGGGTTGTGCCATCGCATTTACACCAACTCCATGAAGCTCTCCAATGTATGGGTCTGAGCCCAGTCGTTCATACGCCTACCGAATCCCTTGGACGCCACTAGTCCATCTAGCCATCTCGCTGCCGAACCCTCAAGATATGAGGCGGTAGTGATCACCTCTTCCTCGCGCAAAGTCCTCTGCCCTTACGCACACTGGCACCATTCTCAACCAAGTGTCGAGTACCTCATCCTTCTTATCACCAGAAAAGGTCTTAGGTGGTTTCAATGGGGTCTTGGGGTCTTGGGGTACCAAGGCTGTTGTGGTCCCATCTGTGAAACCGGCTGCTGCCCCGTAGCTGCAGCAGCTGGACCTGAGGATGAAGCAGCAGTCTGTGCTGCTGCTGCTGATGCACCACTTGGTGGGATGCCAAATTGAGGTGCAAATGGGCCTGTCATCGCCGGCAAGGGCGGCGGAGATGGCAAAGCTGCTGGCCTCATACTAGGCCCGCCTGTTGGGGAAGGGACTGTACTTCCTCTCCCCTGCGTGGCACTAAATATCTGGTCAAGGGTATCTTGGATGCCATCGAGTTTGCTGTCCATGTAAGCGTACATGCTCAGCATACCCGCCTTGAGGATCTTACAGGTGTCGTCAAGGGTCGAGTCATCTAACCCTTCTAATGCAGCCTTGTCTGCCCGTCTGTTCTCTAACCTGACTTTTGTATTTCTGATCTCTGTCTCTCTCTCTGTGGCTTCTCTAAGTTCCTTCTCTAACCTCAAGCGGATCAACTCCACTTGCTGGAGTTCAATGGCCTCTCTTGTGCGCGGAGGTGGCGAGCTGTACTGTGAGCCCGCCATCTGACTAGAAGAAGTGCTTGGTCCCACCCCACTAGACATAGCCTGCGAACTGGCAGGCATGCCTACTGCAGTGGCTGCTGCCACTGCCAGCACTTGTTCCGCTGCCGCTGCTTCAGCTACTACCTCCCGTCGTATAGCTTTCTCGACCTCAGGTGGTAAAGCTTGATGCACGACAGGGGTCCTAAGAGACTCCTGGCGTGTCACCCTTCTCCCTGCAGATCTATCCTCCCCACAACCAGGTCTGCTCATTGCTAGGCAGATCACTATCTGCACTAGAGCCCTCACTGGGGCCTACCACAACATGTATCTGACCGAGTTGAAAAATAATTAAAAATAACTTTCAATAAGTAAATATTCGGCAAGTCACCTAGGCCATCGATCAAGTGGTGTCAACAGCATTTACACAGACCGAGCGCACGATATAATCCTAGTTTGATCAGTTGTCCCACAGCAGCGTCAAACAGAACTGGCTATTAAAATCCAATCGACTATCTACCCAAATGAAATAAAGTCCCAAAGACCTATGATGGTAATAAATATGGTTAACCCGATTAACATAACAAAAGCATAATGGTGCACAAAGCCACTTTGAAGTGTACTTATTTGCTTTGCTAATTTTTTTTATGTGGTGGAAATTCCATAGGGACCCAAAATGGAAATAGCACCTTTGTCTAAGGTTTTCAAAAAAACTTCATACCCAAAATGTAGTATACTACAGTTCTAGTCTAATGTTGTCTGTCAGTTGTTAGCAGTTTGTCCACCTAACTAATCAAAATAAAAATAAATCAAGTGCGCAGATGTATGCAGAAAGCGGAATAATTGTGTTTTGTACGAGCACCAATTGGAACCTTCCCTCCCCTATATCCAACGATCCTGATTGCATCATCGAGCGGCAGTGTCTATGGTGTGCTCACGGCCCACCCCTGTTTATCCTCGCGTGCAACGAGCCTTCCATCCGATGATCTGGCTGATCAACAGGCAGTTTAAGGACAGCCCCCAAGGTCCTCAGGAATCATTTAACGTCGCAGGCAGGATGACGATCACAGCCAGATATCAGATCCCAACCAGACGTTCTTTACAGACGGTCTGGACGCGTCTCACATTGGACTGGTCAGTCCACGTTCCCTCTACAGTGCAGCAAGAGCTCAAAGGGCAAAGCAGCATGGCCTGCGTGTACTACTCCCATGGGTTGGCATTGTGACCGTGACCCGTGCTTCGACCAGGGCCCTTCAGAGGCACCACCCTTTCCTGCCAGATGTGCCACCAGCAAGAATGTTGACTCTCAAGGTAGAGTGCTCACGACTCCTGAACCAGAAGAGGACACTGAAGTTGACTAACTTCCTCACGGTAAGAAGAGATTGAGATGGGAAGATGCGGTAAGGGAACAACGTACCTGAAGATAGCTGCCCCCAACCACAGATTTCTCACCAATTGCGCCGATGTGCATTTCGACGACCGGTCATAGCCTCGGTACCACCCACAATGCAATGCAGTGCCACCTCAGCCAAAATGCCACATCAGCCTGCTCTCATCATCTCACATACATCCGTTGTCGCCACAGCCTTCCGGCGACACTCCCCTCTACCCAGGAGTCGCCTAAACAAGCCAGAGCCAAGGTACCCTCACTGCGTAGAAGCTTCGTCAGCGCACCAAGCAACAAAGTCGCCAGCGCCGGTAACGGCGATCTCGAACCAGCTCCGATGCCAAATTTCAAGGAATATGAGCGAGAGCCATAGACAGAAAACCAAGTTCCAAAATCACGAAGTAGCCCAGATAGTCATGTACCAAGCAGAGAGCACGAATGCACCAAGATACCATTCATATAAGAGCAATACAATGAACTTGTGTGCCAATGTCCACGCCCTCAGGCGCCACCAACACAGTATCCAATGTCGATCCTACTGTCTGGCACCCAGTGCCAGCCTACACTACTCAGCCTGTTATCTACATTCATGCAACGATATCACTTCGACGTCGAAGACCAATGTTCGTGACGTCAACACCAATGCCAACCTTCAGCATACATCAGGCACGTTCTCTCTCCTCCCCTCATCACACCTTGATTCCCCACTCATGCCTCCTACCCGAAGACCACCTTCGCCATCACCTGCTGTCCGCACGCTTGGCCCGGCTATGGCCGCCGTGGGCCCGCTGCCACCGCAGCGCCCTTTCACCTCACAGCGCCCGTGTGCGCCCCAGCCTGCCAGCGCTAAGCAGCGCTCGTCCGACAACGCAGCAGCATGGCCGCATTGCCTTGGCAGGCCAGAATACCGTGCCCAGGGGGCACTCAGTTTCCTTAATGGGAAGTGTGCCCGCTGCTGGCTGGCCTGGCCAGGCGTGTGGGGGCCCAGTACCTTCAGTCTGGCCCCAAGTGTCTGCGCCCAGGCCCAGTTTCAGATACTGGCCTGGGCCTCATGCAGTTAGGCACATTCAGGCAGCCCCCCAGCCTCCAAGTGTTCGCAGCATTCTCATTGGCTTGCGGTGCATGTGTGACAACAATGCTTGCTTTCTCATTGGCCCGCAGCCAATCCGTGATGTGCCAGCCTCACACAGCTTGTGCCCAGGGCGCAACCGCCTGAGCCCTGGGATCAACTGCACAGCGCAGCCCTTGCTTCTCGAAGGAGCCTGAAGGCTCACCTTGCTCTGTAACCAACTGGCGTGCTGCACCTGTCTGATACCCCACATATGGAAAATGTCGAAGTGGGCCTCATGTGGATATTCAGGCCCACATTCACTTAGGGCGGGCACAAGGTCGCTGGGGGCCGCAGCCCAGAACACTCACATGTCTGATAAGGGCCCCGCGAGGGCTCGTTCCTCGCAAAATCTTGTGATCGTGTGATTTTGAGAAAAAAATACAGAGAGGGGGCAAGGTGGGAAGGAAGATGAAGATAAAGAGCAGGAGGAAGTGGAGGGAGAAGGAGATAGAAAAGACAACGAAAACAGTGCCATGTAACGAACTTGGGGGCAAGGGGCTTGGGAGAGAAGCAGGGGAGAGACACAGAGTGAGAGACAGAGACACAGATATGTCATCACCATGATTGGGTGGCTGACTTGATGAAGTAATTCAGTGAACGGTGACCAATCATAACCTGGCTTGAGCAGTGAACGTTGAGATGAAGCTTCTGTGGCCTTTCTTCTTTGTGTGGCCTTCTGTGCGTTCTTTCGTAAGTTTTTGTTGCCATCAGCAAATAACTAAGCCGTTACCTATTCCATGGAATACCATCCCATCTTCTGTGGCCTCCCTTCTTTGCGTGGCCTTCTGTGTGTGTTTGCGTAACCATGCCATGTAATAATAGGTGAAGTGGATGATATCAACCCCACTTGACGCTCCAGAAGACAAAGAAGTGGAGGGATGGAGGGATTACCATCCCAAATGCAAGGTTCCACAGGTCTGGGTTCTTCCCCATCTAAATCCAACTGACTCGGACTGAGCGAGTGATTGATTGATTGATTGAGGGAGGGAGGGAGGGAGGGAGGGAGG